TTCGACGTCATCGAGAGGGCGCTTTGGTGAGTTGGTAACAGGAAGGAGGTTGCCGAGGTGCGGGGAGTTGGCGAGGGCCGGAGATGCGAGGCGTTGCTGCTCTGCTACGATCTGTGGTGGCATGGGCGGCAAAGGCATGGGCTGCTGCTGTTGCTGTTGCTGTTGCTGGTCTTCAATCGAGGGCATGATGGATGGCATCACAGGCTTCATCTGTGTGCGGGGCGAGATGATGTGACGAACGGAGATGGGATCGAAAGTCTGACTAGCAAAGCGTTGCGAGAAGCGGTGCAGATGGGGATCTTCGGGGAAGAGCGTCGCCATGCGCTGCTCAAGCTTCGTAATCTGGGCCAGTTCACCGAATTGCGCCTCGTAATCGTGGAAGAAGGCGAACAGTGACTTCGCTCGGTGCACGTTCTCCGGCTTAGCTGTAAGCTTGCCTACAACAGTCTCGAAGACAGCACGAGCGTCTGAACATGTTAGTCGAGAATTTCTTATGAAGGAGGATGATCAACTTACTGGTTGAATCATTGAGCTTGATCAAATGCTTAATATATTCCAACGCAAACTGCTCATCCTCTGGGAACAACTTCATGCCACGCTCAAAGATCTTTTGCGCGGCTGGCTCCTGGTAGCAGTGATGTTCAATGAGCGCGCTGGCTACATAAGCCTCACTAAGCAGCTTGCCCTTTTTGCGAGCCTCGGTGAAGATACCACGGAAGCCACCAACATCGCCCTTGGGGTCTCCTTTACCCTGGACACGACGCATTGCGCGCATGAGCGCTATCCAGGCGTATGTGAGCGTCTTCTTAAGGTTTTGGGTCTGCGCGTTGTATCCGGCCGACATGGCTTGGAGTTGGCCGCTGAAAGCATCCTCCTTCTCCTTCATCCGTCGTGCGGCTACGACCTCGTCTTCGTCGTCTGCGTCGTCGTTCTGCTGTGCGATGGCCCGAGCAGCCTCGTCAGCAGCCTTCTGCGCCTCGAATTGTTCCTTTGCTCGCGCGATAGAGTGCTCCTCCCGCTTCTTGACCTGCGCTGTGAGATCGTAAATGGTATCGAGGAGCCTCTGGTATGGCTCCCGGACGGCTCTGCCCTTGGCAATGATGCCTGCTTGGCCGTCCTCGAAATCGGTGCGCTGCTCGACCTGGTTGGCCTTTTTGAAAGCAAGAAGGCAGCTTTCAGGGTTCGCATCTATGCCATCGTTGAGGAACTTGTCGCCTTCAGCCTGAAGGTTGTTCTCGAAGCACCATTCAGCCGCCTCGTACCACAATTCTGGCCAGAAGCGAAGCGCCATTAGCGCATTCTTGTATAGGTGCAGGACACGCTTGTTGTACAGTTCGCGATTGTCTGTGGCGCACTCGAGCGGGTCGTTCTTCTCCCACTGGATCCAGTTTTTCCACAGCTTGACTTGGTTCATAAATTCATCGTGGCCGTCGAAGCCGGCGGCAGGTGGTAGCTTGGGCAAAGTCGTCCGGTTGACGCCTCTTGTGATGTTGTTTTCAAGGACGTTGATAGCGCTGCGAGCTGTCATGTAGGCGGGCGACGTTTCCTGTAGTTGTTTGCGACCCTGTTGCGAAAGTTAGGCTGATGATTACCGGAGAGGAACGTGACTGCTTACTGAAACCTTGTTCATGCTCATCTCGAACTTGTCGTAATCTCGCCAGATCTCTAGGGTAGCGTTGTGAGGCACCGAAACAGCGCGCTGGTACACCTTTCGCAGGGTGTCCATCTTCTGCATGTCCTGCCAATTGCTGCCACCGAGGGCGCCGGGCCCTGTTTTCAACATCTCGATGTAATCAAGCCACAGCTTACCAGCTTGGACATCAAGACCTACAGAGTTGAGAACAAACTCGTAGGCTTGAGTGACGGTCTGGCGGTTCTGGCCATTCTGATCAGTGGTGAGGTTGAATCGACGTCGGATAAAGTCAATGTAAGCAGAGTAGATGCCGATGTACTGTGCTGAAGGGATAGAACGGCCGAAGAGGTGTTCGACCTTTGGCAGCTCGTCGAGCTCGGTCTCGAACTGGATGTATTCTACCCATTGCTCGCCCTGGGCATGTTAGTGAAATCACATGCAACAATCATCGCCGTGCTTACTGCTGAAGGGAAGACTTTGAGGAAACGCTCGAATACAGCTCGGGCATCATCGTGCTTGTGTCGCCTGCGGTGCTCCTCAATTAGACTCAACCAGGCTTCGATGTCACCACGTGGATCTTCAGCAATGCGATCTTCGAGAATACCCACTCGGTCCTGAGGAAGACGAGCCTTTGGCAGAGAAGCAGACGTAGGAGCTGGGGTGGGTGGAGCTACGGAGGGGCGTGCTGAAGCAACATTCAACACGTCGGGAGCAGGCTTAGTAACGTCTGGAACAGGCGTACTGCCGTTAGGGAGAGAAGCAACAGAGGGAGCAGGCTCATTGACAGCGACAGAAGCAGAAATAGATGCAGGAGCCTCGTCTTGTGCACTATGTAACTGTACATCTGGGTTGGGTAGTGTATTGTTTGGAGTGTTTGTAAAAGATCGCTGAGGGGACTCTGTAGCACCCGTAGCACTCAGCAGTGCAGTATTCGCCTCTTGTGGCTGCATAGCGGGCTCCTCTTCCTCGTCCTCACTCTCGTCGACAAAACCACCCACGGTGCGCGGACGCTTGGACGGCGGCGCTGCGGCAGCCTCTGCGGAGGCCTGGGGGGGCTGGGACTGCAGCCCATCTTCGGTCTCGGCGGCTGGTGGTGAGTTCGCGCGCGATTCGGGCTGCATGGATGTCGAGTGGTCTGAAGGGGCAGAGTACGTCGCGGTGGGGTCGTATTCCTCCTGGCCGGTGGGCGCGTCGGGCATGCTGTAGCCGGCTGAAGGGTCATACTCGTCTTTTTGCGCTTCAAGGAAAGCCAGCTCGGCCTCGTCCGCCATGCTTACGGTAGGGCGGTAGCTGTGCGATGTGGTTAGAATTGGTCGGGTCGTAGCAATGGGCGTGGTATTACGAGCTGGGCGGGAGGTACAGGCCGTGGACAATGCTTCTCTCTTTGTCGCGTCTTTGGTGTCTGCGAGGTGCGCTCGGCGGGTGCGCGACAAAGCAGCAGGAGCGCTGGGGGCCTTTGCTGTACTTTTGGCAGTTGCGGCGGTCGCGCAAAGAAGGTCCGAGACGTGCGCGGAATGGGGGGTGATGCGCCGGCGGTGATGGTCGAGTGCGCGCGATGTATGAGGTGAGCAAAGGTTGCGAGTCGGCGCTGCGGCTTGCTACCAACGGAGCCTGACAGCCTTGTCCGTGCTTGGCGCCGGCCCGAGTGCGCGAGCTCCAACGCCGATGTCATCGCTCAGGTACCGAACACATCGACGACCCCCACTGGAGCACCCTCTCCTTCACGCGCGCCCTCCAATTATGGAAACGTGGGACTCGCCGTGACACGACCATCACGACGCGTATACGAAATCCCGCGCAAACCCACATCGCGCCGCCACCTTCGACAGCTGCCTACAGACGCCCTACCACCTCACCTAGCCCGGCATGAACCCGCACATATCTCTCCCACGGCCGACGGGCGGGCCCTCCAACTTTGGCTCTACGCCATCGTCGCGGCGCAATGAGATCAAAATGCCGCGTTTCTTCAAGCGCATGTTCAAGTTTCCTCAGATGGACTTTGAGATGGCCGTATGGGAGATCATGAGCCTAATCGTAGCGCCTAAGAAGGTGTTTAGACAAATCTTCTACCACGTATGCCATCCCTCGGTCGGCTCATGTTTGCGCCCGACTGACCAACGTAGAAACAAACAACAAAGACATACCACCGACCCGACCCGTCCTTCACATACCTACTCTCCTTCTTCCTCACCCTTACCTCTCTCGCTTGGGGCTTCGCATACGCCGATGGCTTTACTCAAACACTCCACATAACCCTGGTCTTCATCTTCGGCCATTTCCTCTTGCTGTCGCTCGTAATCGCGACCCTGTTCTTCTTCCTCGTAGGCCGGTTACTGGGGCCGGACAACACCCTCCTGCCTGGGCGACGGAGAGGGTTGTACAATCTCGGAGAAGACTCTGGCAAGGAAGAGCTGGAGTTTGGGTACTGCTGGGATGTTGCAATCAGGGCTTTTGTGCCAGTCTGGGTGTTTCTCTATGTCGTGCAGTTCATTTGCATGCCATTGGTAGGAACGCATCACTGGTAGGTCAGCAAGCCCCACAAGAGAATACTTGCGCTAACGAGTCCTAGGTTCTCACTCCTTCTGGCAAACACTCTCTATCTCCTCGCGCTGAACTACTACTTCATCATCACTTTCCTGGGTTACAAGGAGCTACCCTTCCTCCACCATACCGAACTCTTACTAGTTCCAGTCGCTGTTATGGCGATTCTCTGGTTCGCATCCCTCTTCGGCTTCAACATGTCGGCACATTTCGCCCCAGTGTTATGGACAGGTGCCAAGTTGCGGAAGCATGTATAGATGTACAGACAGCATTAGTAGAAAGAGGAGGGGTCGTAATACAAAGGATAGCCGAGTATCACGATTGAAAGTCGTGGCCGAAGCTTCCAGGACATGCTCAGCCGCAACTTATTCAGGTGTTGGGCGTTGAGCGATTACCGGCATTGTCGAGATGTATGAAATAGATGATCGCAGCATGTCTGGCGTGTTGATAAAACATAATTCATACCCACACTAATCCAGTCGAGTACATGCAGGTTCTATTGCCCGCCATGGAGACTCGTAGAGCGATGTGGTGGATCCACAACACTCAAATCAGTGTTCAACGACATGTTGAGTAATCTGGCGAGATGAAGCTCAGCACCTGAGCACCGCACTGCGATATTTCGACAGGAAAAATGAAAATAAGACAGGTATCATAATAAATGCCGCGACAACAATGGATACAAGCCAACACCAAGTCATCGCAAATGGTCAAAGGGCTGCTAGCGGCCACGCGTATCTAGAGTCAGCTCACGTGCGCTCGCTCACCTTCTCCACCTCCCGATCCGCCAGCAGTCCAAAAATCCAACAAAAAAAATGAATCAGATGCTCTCCAGCGGGGAATTGAACCCCGGTCTCCCGCGCTGTGCTGCCGAAGCAATGACAAGCGGAAATACTGACCACTATACTACTGAAGAAGAGGATCTTAAAGAACCAGTGTTGTGGTTGTTGATGGACGGAATCGAAATAGAACGCAATATGTTTGCAGTTGTTAAAACCAAAGACCTGGAAGGGCCTAGGTCGTGATCCGCCGTTGAACGCAAATATGTGCTTTGTGAAGTTTTTGCAGGTGGAGATGTGGGTTGAGGAGCAAAGTAAAATGCCCCACAGCTTGAGCGAACTTGACCGAGATAAGCTGAGCACTGCTTTCACAAATCCAAAGCCATGCCATGCGCCCCTCATGCCTCGATCTGGATGCGGCTCGGGACGTTTTGTTTACAAGCCTCGCTCGCAACGTCACTTCAGCAGGATGCTGTCTAGCTGCCACACATTCGTTACGACTTCACGAGCTTGCGAACATGACATCAACGCAAGATACAACATCCGCACCGCTTAGGCTTTTGATTTTGACTTTATTTTGCAACAGACGGAGAGCTATGCTTCGCCGTGCAAACTGTTAGTGCTGCAGCAGGGGGTGGGGGAGTGACGCGCGGGGTAAGGTCCATCAACTCCGATGCATCGCGACTGCTTCTACCGTCCTCAAATTCCTAAATCTCCTCTCTCGTCCCTCTCTTTGCAGATGCACCAGACTTTCGTGGACTTTTTTTTAGAGCGTCTTGCTGTATAATGCTCATGCACACAATGCGGCGGGCGTGCGGCGGGCGGGCGGCGCTCGCTCTCGAAGCCTTGTTGGCATCGTAGCGACTAACCAGCTGCTCTTCAGCACTCGGATAAGCACACGGTCGGAACGAATATACTGCATTACCAAGCAATCTAAATAGATGCATTTGTTTTCTTTCTTATCTCTAATCTAGACCAGTCTCCTGCGGGTAGCATATTGCTGGTGGAGTGCGGCTGAAGGTCAAGCGACTCCCGAGGTGCGTATTGCGCGATATGGTTACTGACATATAGGAGGACAGTGGCTTACATCCCTCACCGATTTGGGGTGCATACGAGCTTCAAACTAGTGGCTTCTTTCTTTTTCTGCAATAACTAGGTCAACAAAAGAATTGGCGCTTCTGGCCCTGGCCCTGAGAAGCAAATGGCTATCAGCATTCGCGCGCACCCTATGAGTGACGTCAATCATTTGCAGCAGTCACATTTCGCAATGCGGCTTTTCATGCCGTCAGAAATTCAATTTAATTACGACCAGACTAGTATAAAAGGTCTCACGTGCATGTGGGCTAATGGCGCAGTCTACTCTAATGTTCGGGTGTCCTCAACGTATCCAACCAGCCATCCACGGTGCGTGCGAACCCAACACAATCCCGGGTCCACATACTCGGTTTACGCTTACAATCGCCGGCCTGCTTAAATTGGCAGAAAATGAGCTTGAAATCGTACCGAATCTCGGCATTGAACACAGTCAGGACAAGAGAAATGCAGATAGCCTTGCAAAAATGGTTGTGTGTGTGTGTGTGTGTGTGTGTGTCCACGCGACGTGGTTCAGTGTACAAATTGTCGGCCACTTAAGCACAGGCTACGCTTGGAGTCTCTTGGAGATCTCTACCTTCCCTCACGATTTTTTTGTTTCCTGGTTGTCTATTGTTGTTGGTGGCACAAGCCAATGCCCATAGATACTCCTACGCTGATTGACTGCTCCAGCAGACGGGCACAAAAGAGAGTTTTGTGGTTGCTTATGGCAAGCCGTTCTGGGACTTTGGGTAGGATTCAGTATAGGAAACACAGGCGGATCCTTAACCCGCCTTGTAATGGCCTCTTAACATTTCAGGCTGACGGGGAACATGGCTCTATTACAGACGTTGCCGGACTTTAAAGAGATATTCCCAGAAACCTGGAGGACGTATTGGCCGCATTGGTTTATCTCTTACAGGACTCATACATTTGTTCGACCTGAGAGGGATCTTGAAGATATGGAAAGAAGATTCAGAAAAGATTCCGGTAGACGGCCGTATCCTTCGCACGACCATCTGTCACCGTATGCCTTTGATTTAGCTCGGTCAAGAACAACGCTTGTGAACACGACCAAGTTAGGAGGGGACAATGTGGTCCGCAGATGTGAATAGCTAATATTACAACCTTGTGCGTTCGAAATCTCCAGGATAGTTCATTTCCTGCTGTCTCTATGTAGCTCTGGCAAAGAAACCATCTACGTTGCCCCACACTTGTTCGCCTGGCATGCACCCTTTACCTCCAAGCCCAAAGAGCGCTCTGGCGAGTGTCTGCGACCTTGGTCACTATTTATGCACCAGTCTAATTTTTCACGATAGCGTCCTATTCATTCGTTGTGTTCCGCTCCAACAAAGGCAGATTCCTTTTACTGGCGCGTCGGTTTTATCTCGAGCGTATCTTCTAATTCCTTTTCGGACTATCACGCCTTAGCTATTACATATTATTCGTCTTTGCCAGATTATATCTGGCGTTAAAATATTTCACCAGTCGTCTCTATCTACCGCAAGAAGTTGATGAGCAACTACAATGGAGTCGGTACATCCCGCACCTCGGCACTGGATGTGGTATCTAGCAGATAGGTTTCGAATCAACACAATCTGGATCACAAGTGTCTGCCCCAGTCGCACAGTCAAAAAGCCGCAATGGCCACTTGAGCTTCTATTCGTACTCCATTCACTGCACACTGGCTGCTGTCGGACGGACAAGCATTGGATCAGCTAGCCGGAAAGCCCGCTCTAGCCATCTTCTTCCCTCGCTGAGCCTTCCGGTTGTGGTTCGCGCTCGATCCTTTATTCGCTTCCTTGCGCTGCCGCGAGACCTGTGTGCCTTTGTCGTCGGAAGGGCCCGCAACACTGGCTCCGCCTCTGCCACCACCTGGCCCACCGCGTCCACGACCCCTGCCTCGACCTCTACCACCACCGCCCCTTCCACCGCGACCGCCCGACGCATCGCCGCTTGCCTCGTCTCCAGACCCTGCGGGGCTTTCGCGCCATGCAGTGGACTGCAGCTCTGGCTGCTGTCCCTGGAAATTGGAAAACTTCGCTTCGAGGCGTCGCAATTGTCTGGGATTGCGCCCCATCATGATCGCCCAGCCTTCGATCGCTTCGTCTGTCATGCCTGTCTCGCTCTTTAGCGCTGTTCGCGCTTTGCCTCTTCTCGTCTCGGATTCGCGGCCGAAAAGTTCGGGCGTCATGGTGTAGGCACGGTACAAAGCCTCTTCGTTCTTGTCGCCGAGATCAGCATCTTCACCGGGTCCGGGCGCGGCAGTATCAACCGATGCGCCGACATCTTCTGCGTCGTAGGTGTCGTCGCGCTCGTCATCGTCTGAGTCAAAGGCTGCCAGAGCGGCCATGATGGCGGACTTTGCGGGTGCTTTGCTGCGGTCGGAGAGTATCTTGTCAGCGTTCTGGTCTTGGCCTCGCCGACCGATGTGGAGGCGGGATGTATCGACCGCGAGATTGTCGAAATCGTCATTGTCGAATACATTGCGGCGCTCGGGAATATGCTGGCTTGATCGTGGTGGCGGAAGTGGCTGTGACATTGCGGACGGGGTTGGTCTGCGTATTGTGAGCGTGTTGACTTTGAAACATCCATGAGGAGATGATACGTACAGTGTTTCACTCCTATCTGCCTCGATAAGATGAGGTGGTAAAGAGTCTTCCAGCAGATGGGCAGTCACTTGCTCAATGTCATCGTTGTACTCGTCCAAACACTTTACGATGAAGCCGGCGCCGAGGTCTGGGAAGAGGTCTTGGATCTGAGTAATGATGCTCATACGGTGAATGTGAACTTCGCCAGTGAACGCGCCATGACCGTAGCTGTCTTGGTCTGCATTCGCCTTGCCTTTTTCTACCTTTCTTCGTATTAACTTCTTCGGCCGAGCGACACCAGGTTGACGGAAGGCGCTAAGCGATGCCGCAGTATTCCTCACTCTTGTCGCTTCCGGAGCAGTAGTCTTGTCCCGGACCTTCTCCAGAAATGGCGTATTTGTGACCAGGTCAGCTACTAACGTCTTCTTCCCTGGCTCTTTCTTTTGCTCTTGTTCTTCGCTGGACTTCAGGCTGTATAGGTGATCGGAGAGTAGAGAGTAGTTTGGTTTCGGCCCTTCAAGTGTTGCAGTAAGGCCAAGATATGCTACTGTTACCAGCTTCTTCTGCATTGGTAGTGTTACTTGCGGATACGCTGCCGAGAGTGCGTCTAGAAAGTCGGATCCCGTGAGCATGAAAATGCTGGTGTCCGTCGAGGCTCTGAGCAGAGGGGCTATTCGATTGAGAGTGCTCTCAGCTTCCCCCGGCCGCTTTGATTCCAGGTTTCTGATCAATGATGTCTTGGCAGTCTGTAATGACTTCTCAATGGCTGCACCCTTTCGCTTCCATAACCCTTGCAACAACGTACGGAATTGCTCGCTCTTTGGGTAAACATGGCCAATATCCGACAATGCTGACCAGTTGAGGAGAGATGGTGGTATGTCTTCTCTTGAAAGTAGCCTGTGTAATAAGAAGAAGCCCTTCTTTCGCAAAGATGCCACCTTTGTTGCTAGCGTGTCGTCATGTGCCAGTTCATGAAAGAAAGAAGTAAGAAAGGGTGTGAGCGTGTCCTTCTCTTCTACTGCTGAATCAAATTGCTGATCCCCTAACCGCAGATAAAGCTCTGCCAAGGAGGTCCAGGAATCCAGGTACAAATGCCATTCGTCTGGGAGTATGCTCTTTCTGACTTTTGCGTCGGGGAAAGGCGCGAAGTGGGGTAGCGACATTACTTTTGGTAGTCTCGATTGTAATGGGGAGGTAGAGGACAAGTAGCGCAGTGAGTCGCAGCAATTCCAAGCAAGACTTTATGGGATTTCAGATTTCGGTGTTTGTCTTTAGTCATGTAGTCATGATGGCTCATGGGGCCTGCCTGCCGAGCGATCAAGGGAGCGATACCCGATCCGGCCCTAGCGCCCGGAATCTTGGCGCTCACCGCCCACAGAGCGATTTTCGGTTTCGAGCAAGAAATTCAACGACTTACGAACGCCGTCGCCAATTTTAACGCCGCCCCAGTCATCACATTACCGCGATCAAGGATC